CGTGTTAGCAGGGTGGGACGCGGAAAGAGAGAGTCTCATGCTTTAAAATAACACAGCCTAGCCTTTATGTAGAGCTCTTCATCTTCAAAACACTTCGCAAACACTGGTCCTCGCCCCTCTCCTAAAATAGGCATGTATCAACATTCCCCATTTCTCAGAAGGAGGGGGAAACTGAGGCACAGTTTGGTAACTTGTCCTAGGCTGCAGCGGGCATTGGTGTCAGTGCCGCAGTTGGAACTCTGCAGCTCCTGACTCTCCGATGACCGGGCTGTGTGATTGCGTACACGTCCCTCAGCCAGCCTGGCAATCTCGCTTTGTTGGTCAGATGATGTAGCATTAAAGTGAAGTACTAGAGAAACCCATGTGCGTAGGAAGTTCGTGGCGTTATGACTTCCCATACATTTTACTTTATTTTCTCCCCTGTTGAATCCTCCTTTAAAAATGAACAGTCTGAAACCTTCCATTTCCAAGGAGCGTAAGAGTTTTCACCACTGCGTGCGCTGATGCGCAAACTTTTAGCTGTACGTCTGTGCCCGTCCAGCACAACTGGTGCCGGCAGTGTGGACAGGGATTGTAGGTCTTTACTGTCGTCAAGGCTTGTACAACATGATGGTAGACAACCCTGAATGCCTGAATCTCACCTACACTACAGCTTCTGCTGTGGCGGCCACTTAGACTGGGAGCTCTGGGGCAGGGATGACCTTTCTCTTCTGTGTTGGTACAGGGCCTAGCACAGTGGAGTGCTGGTCCGTGAGTGGGGCTCGGAGGTGCTATTGCACCAAAAATAATAAATAGTAATAACAACTCTGGAGCTGCGCGGATGGCGGATTATGGCTGCAAGTGCGATGGCTGTAGACAGATCTGTTAGGATTGCAGCTTGACAGACGGACAGTAGCATCCCACCTCAATTGGGTGTTAGCAGAGATGCTTTAATTAGGCCAGGCTGTATTCTGTAATTTCTAATGGGGGGGCGAGGGGCCGGGGGGTGGTAAGAAGTGTACACACCTCTCTCTGCATTGAGGGAGGGGCGAATTTCATAATATATCTTTAAGGCCCGGCTTGACAAAGCCCTGGCTGGGATGATTTAGTTGGGGATTGGTTCTGCTTTGAGCAGGGGGTTGGACTAGATGACCTCCTGAGGTCCCTTCCAACCCTGATCTTCTATGATTCTCTGAGTCTGCACTCCAAGGGAGGTGGGCATCTGAGTGCTGGAGCAAGTCCCCTAAGCTGAGTCTTCCCAGAGCTGATCTGCAGCTGGGAGTGGCCCTGGGTGTGTTAGAGGGGGTTTTAAGAGCCTGGCACGGCAAGACAGGTTACAGGGGGCCCAGGCTGGCAGAACCAGGTAGACTCAGTGGTATCTCAGCGCATCAGGTGGCTTCCCAAGGGGTCCAACCCATCACACTGACGTCCACAGCTGTTCTGATCTCTTGTGTGGGAAGTGCCGAGAGAACTACGCACAGGCAAGTATCTCTGTTGAGGCTGATGATTCTAGTGGCACGTAGCTACCGTGGGAGGTCAAAAGAGGGCCAGCGTGAGGCGGTCTCTCGGGGGCTGTAACTCAGAACGATCCCAACAGCACTGCAGAAAGAGCTGCCCCCCTGGAATCTAGGGTGACCAGATATCTCAATTTTATAGGGTCAGTCCTGATTTTTTGGGCTTTTTCTTATATAGGTACCTATTACCCCCCCACCTCCTGTCCTGATTTTTCACACTTGCTATCTGGTCATCCTACTTGAATTTGACCCAGAATTCAATGGGGAGCCAGACCAGAGAATGGGACGCTGGGGCAATATATTCTCATCAGCCTGTGTTGTAGCTCTTTTAAGGTGGCTACTTTTGTCCAGAACGTAGGGACAGAGAGGTACAGTAACCAAGCCTGACGGTCACCCGTGTGTGGATTGCTGTGTCTGAATCGCACAGTCTTTTCGCCTTCCATCAATTAAAAAAAGGGCCTTTTTGGCAGTCGGAGCCAGCTATTGGGGGTATCCAGAAGCAGGGAGGGGTCCAGGTGAGCCCAGGATTCAGCACAGCCGTAGTGATCTCTGGGCAGGCTTTGCCGGTGCAGGTTGAGGATACAGATGGGACAAGTTATCTTCTATTAAGTTCTGTGACTACTCCCTGGGGAGAGGATGAGAGAGAGAATGAACCATGCGTGACAGATGTTAGTGATGTCACTTAATGCACTATGGGAAGGTGCTCAGATGCTACAACCATCCGGGAGGTGTAAAAATCTATATAGAATAGAACAGACTGACTCTTTAGTTCTGCTCTTAACCTAAGATAAAACTCACTCTGCCAGACCATGGTTTGGAGGAATTGAACTTGGGGAGACAATCCAGCTTGGCTGCTTTGCTCCTGCATGCCCCCTGTTAGGTGTGGGCTTTCGAGGCAGTTATTTGGATGAAGATCTGATAAACTGCGCAATTGGTGGATTTGTTTCTCCCGCACAGGAGGGAAAGCGCTTTGCCCAGAGTGCTGCGGCTAATGCACAGTTGATTGCCTGCGTTTTTAAAGCCTGTCTCTCCGAAACAGTAACGCCCACCTCTGCTTATCGAAATGTCATTATACAACATTTAATATCATTAACCTGCAGCACATAGTAAAATGCATCCAAATAAACAAAAGCAAAGTGCATTTGTTTTACCTGCTAGCAATATTTATTGCAGGAGTAGATCGGAATGCTGCACAAGTCCCCCTCTCAAGGAGAGTGGGAATAGCTTTTTCCTTTCCTAGAGCCCTCGTTCTCGAAGATAGCAGACTTCGATTGAGCATAGAAATGCTTGCAAACTCCATTCAGGCGTGAGGTCGCTTTTAATACTCTAGGAAGCTCAATTTGCAAACGAGCCTTTAAGGTGGCAATGCCTGGGAGTCAAGACTCCGGGGTTCTAGTTCTGTTGCTGACTTACCCTATGGCCGTGGGCAAAATCACTGAGGGCCTGATGGTCAGAGATGCTGGGTCATCAAAGTCAAGCAGAGATGTGGGTGCTCAGAGCTTTGGAAATCAGGGCCCTGGAGTCCCGGGCGTGGGGCCGGGAGCCAAGTCCTGGGGCTGGCAGCCGGGACCCTGGTGCAGGGCCGGGAGCCAAGTCCTGGGGCCGGCAGCTGGGCCCCTGGGTGCGGGGCCAACAGCTGGGACGCCAGGCCAGCAGCCAGGCGTGGGACCAGCAGCTGGGACCCTGCTGCAGCACCCCCAACTTCCTACTTCCTGTGCCTATGCTATTGTGCTCCAATGAGCATGTAGATACCCCAGTGCCCATTTACAGCACCTGAGCAGGCCATTTCAGCTCCCTCCGTTGAATGCACATGCCAGACATCGGGCCTACAATGTTAACAAAAGGCTTCCCCAGTCCTTCCCTTTGTGACAGAATCTTCGTGTGCTGTGCCTGCATTTGCATTTTTATTCTTTAACATTCTCTTCTTTGTTTTGCTTTTTTATACATTATTTAGGGTTGTATGGGTTGGGCGAGACAGAAATAACTGAATTTTCAATAGTCTTCAGAGCAGAACAGTAAACAAGATTTAGGGCAGAATATT